CAAAATTTCCTAAGATATTTAGTATGTGATGGCAATTTTTCACGTTTTATACAAGGCATGGCTGGACCAAAAGCAGTCAGCTTTTATTGTTTTTTTGATATTTTGGGAAAAATCAAGAACAAAAAACCAAAAGATCTTTTCTTTTTCCATAAAACACATTGGAATTCGATCAAACAAACAACATATCCTGCTAATCTCTTCATAAACAATCTTCAGTCCAGTAATACAGCACTTCTGATGAAGCACATTCTCAAGTGGATGCAATGATGAATCATACATGCGCTTAGCTGCACTCCAGTAGTGGAAACTAGTGAACCAAAACATTTCAATGATTACTGTCATCAATTGATTATCAAAGCTTTTCTTCCAAGCGCCAAAGCATTTTTGTTCAGAAATCATAGATACTGGCATAACCAAAAGACTGAACTTTTATCCTTTCCAGCACTTGCTAGGACCGGGCCAGTTTTCTCTGGGACACGGCATCAGGAGACCTCTAGCAGTTGAAGACTTTGAATGTCACATTTATGCTCCACGCTTGGCTATCGTGATTCATGACAATAACAATGCAGTTTAAGGATGCTCAACTTGTAGCTGTTCTTGCTTTAACTGTTCATCCTTGAATCTGAATGCATTTGACATCAGCCACAAGATGACGGATGTGTGGAGCATACCATTTCACTCTCTCCACATGCTCTATGGTAACTTCCCAACAGTGGCCTGCAAACAAACACAATTTCCAGGTCAGCCATTCCAAAACCCGAACTGCTAGTTCATAATTTAACTTGAAATGCAACGCTTTTAACACATAAAATCCGTACCTTCAGATTTAGCAATTTCATAGATTGATTTCAAAACATGGTCAGCCCACAATCTCTCCTCTGAGTCCTTAACATTCCCATGTACATGTAATATCCCACCCTGATTCCTGTGTTATCAGTATCATCGTTAAAACATAAAGATATGATAGTGGAGAAGAATGAAACTCTTGCAACATTTGGCTTCTGAGATTAGGAGAGAAATCATGGAATGGACAACATAGAATGTTAAAACAAAGCCACCTTAATGCCTTCACTGCAGTAACCCAGCTACCCTCACTTGATGGAAGAAGACCAAGACAAACTCGATCAGCAACTCCCTGTAGTAAAACAATGGAAGGGAGTCAATTTTATTCATCATCCCCTCCTCTTTGTTAAACAAATGTTGTGAATGCAGTATGTTCCTTTATATAACAAGTTAAAATGTCAGCCAAAACATAACAACAATTTGAGTTGCATCATTCATAGAAATCAAATCCTTCATTTCTGCACTAATCCAAACAAGGCTAGAAAATAATGATGGACACTAACAAACAAAGTCAACTGAGAAATAATATCAATCATTCAACTCGGAAATTTGGTCTTCCAACTAACAAGTAGCAAATATATGAAAACATTGAAAAAGGGTCTTAGCATACCATCCTTCAAATTTGCAGCCATCATTCTTGGCATGTATAATTCTTGAATACTCGTCATGGTGAAGAAATTTTTTAAATAGATTTAGATCATGGTGGATTAGGTTTCTATGACTTCAGTATAAAAGTTTGCATTTAGAATATGCATTCTACCCATAAGAGTAAAACAGAATACAACATACCTTGGGTGCTGTAACCCGATTATCTCCTTCAAGTAAGATACAACGATCAGAAACAGAATTGGCTTTAAGATTACGTTGAAGTGCCTCAACAGCATGGGGATTCCATTCACAAGCATATACCAGCTTTGCTTTAGCCCTGATGACCAGGCAACATAAACCAAAGCAGCGCCATAAACACAAGGGTAATCAAGCATCAGCACTGCTCGCAAGGCACCGGATAACATAAATGCTACTGGCAACAGCTATAGCTTTAAATCAAAAGGAATTGCAAGTTTTTACTGTCAACAAAGAGGAATTCCCAAACTAGCATAGCAATTTTGAAAACAGGTTTAGTTCCCATGGCATCTACTAAAATTTACCATCACAAAACAACTAGGTAAAAAGAACCCATTTTATTATTATTAAGTCTAGATAACCTCTTAAGTTAGTCCACACCGGTTCATAGGAAAAATGTGCATCAGGGAAGATTCCAGCAAGTTTATTGTTTTGATGGACCATCCTCATTGTCCATCCAGCACATATACAATTTCATACATCATGCCTTGGTCCTGATTTTCTAGCTTATCAGACCTAATACAGAGGCAAGTTGTTATTTCAACAAAAAGAATAATTAAGCATACCTTACAAGGAATGGCAACACAAAATATCCAATTCCAGCAAACAAATCCACAACAACCTCATCTCTACAATCCAAATTGGCCATTCGAGTTTTCTCAGAAAGATTGCCCCAGGAAAACATACACTTTGTAGCATCAAAGGAATACAGAATCCCATTTTCACGATGATCAACCCATCCATTATCTCCAACAAGAATCTCTAAATTACTGTCTCTTGTGCCAGTTGATGCAACTCGGCCCTGGGGAATTACAACAAATAGATGCAATGACTATGAGTGAAGAAACTCACTACTAACCAATTATTAAAAAAACAGAACTAAAGAGTCATCAATTTCAATCTTGGTGGCATATTTTTCCTAAAGATATGGTTTCTAATGACTGGTTTGATAATGTCAGATACTTAGGAATGCAGCTTTCTTTGAGTTGAGCCACTGGAAAAAATAACAATGCCCCATGGTAGCCTCCAAACACCATCATAATTATGACTGCAGGGAACATCTATATAGGTGCATGCTTGAATGTAGGTAAGAGAAAGAATTACAGGTTTCAAAATTTTTAATTATCAATTGAATTATCTTTATCTAATATGAATTACTTGGGTGGATTGTCTAGCTTAGCAGCTATCAGAGACAACATATCTTAATGACTTGATCACAATAGAAAACTAAAATTGATTTATTTGCAGATCATCTCTTATTTTTATGAACACCCAAAAAAGAAATCTAGTAAAGAAAACTACCCTAGCATCTTTTTTAGTTAACAAAATATTATTCTTGATATTAGATCAAGATCAACTATAGTTAATTTTCTAATAACTGAAAATGGAAACCATATGGGGTTAGCTAGACCCAGTTGCTTTAAAAAACATGTTTTAACATCATAGTTAAAATTTAGCATCACACTTTTCAGAAAATGTGGTGTGACTTTCGCTTTGCGTGTTCAATGAATTATTTTCTTATTTCCCAAAGGGCAACAAGCATAAACAATCAATAACATTCAATACAAACCAGATTAGGCATAAGTCATCTAGGCAGCATACCTGGCGAGCAAGATGACTAGCATGCAACGAGTTAGCAACAATGGGCCAAAGTTCCTTTCCAATTGAATCCCACACTGCATCCTTGAAGGAGGTCACTGGAAGAACAACAATATCTCCAAGGCGCTCCCACCTAAATTAGTCAATAGATGTTAATATTAGTATATCTAATGGATATTGCACCCACATGTAGAACTGCAAGAGTTGCAGCAAATAAAGAGTGTCTACCTAACTGAAGAATGTGGTCAACCAACTCGTGTAACAGTAGCTGACATAGAGGCATCGGAAGAATAAGGTTAAGAAACACAAACCTAGTTGGTAGCTGCTCTAGAAGTTCAGCAGATAAGCCTTTTTCCTTGATCAGAGAGGCTACAGCTTCAGTCATTACTTTTAATGGAGATTTGGACAATTTTCTCACTTCAACAACCTCATCTAGCAGTCTCTTAGCACCATATTTCTTCAGAATATTGAGGGCTGCTGAAGAGGAGATCTGATCTAAAAGAACAGTTTCAGCCATAAATGGTTTAGAGAAATGAAGATCTTTCAAGCCTTTGCATTCCTCTTCCATATTATACTGCTCTTCTTGGAATACAGTGCAAAAGTTTTCTTTCACAGGGAAACAGATAAATAGACCACCCTCCTGCAAGTAAACCTTTCTTTGAAGATCTAACCATCCAAACTTCTTCAATATATCCTTCCCAAATTTTGCATTTTTTTTTTCAAGTTGTAGAACCCATTTTGAGGCAACCAACTGGCTTCCACCATTTAAACTTTGTGGTTCAGGGGTTTCAGTTGAAGTGAGAGAATTTTCGACATGTGTAGCATGGTCATCCAAAGATAATAATGGGAGCAAGTTGATTTTTATTGGTGCACTAAACTTTGTGCCAAATGCATAACATGCTGCTCCACCACCAATTATAATAAGATCATCACCAGCAACATTGGCAGTACAACGCACAAACAGTTCTTCACTAATTGAACTAAGCATGACATGCTTCCACATGAGATTCTGAATATCAAGTAATGACAACTCTTGACAATGTTGCCTGACGGGACAACCCCCAATGACTCCAATATAAGTTTTGTAGACAAACATTGAGTGGGAGAACCTAGCATGAGGACTTCGCCCTGCCACCTTTTCTTTCTTCCACAAACATGTTTGAACATCAAAACTGTACAAGTCTCCAAGTACTTTCTCTCCATCATATCCTCCAAACAAGAATATCTTGGACCCATGTGCCACCATTGAGTGAGAATGACGAGCACATGGCCATTCACCACTGACTGGTAACTCTTCCCACTGTTGATTATCTGTGTGAAGGACATGGAAGGACGAAGAGATTGTATCATTGTTTAGTCCACCAAAAACATATATCTTTGAACCTACAACTGCTGCTGCATGCCGATGCCTGCATAACATACATGCACAATTGACATTCAGAGCTTAAGGGAGATAAATTAAGACAATAAACCACTAGAGATGAGGACATTAAACTATTTTTCATAAAATATCAAGGATATTGCTTAGGCAGGTGAAAAGATGGCAAATAGGCATCTCTTATGATACATTCTTTTTGATGGCATTATCTAATTAAAACATCACTTAAAGAGGTAGAAGAGAAATGAGAACATAAAGTGTACTGAGGACATGACCTGGGAGGAAAAACACTGCCAGTGCATTCTAGCAACCTCCATTCATTCTTAACCGTGTTAAGAACCCAAATATCACTTAGTATGTTAAGTGGATCACCCCTCCCTCCAATAACATACAAGCAATCTCCAACCAAAGATGATGTGTGACCCAAGCAAGGTGAAGGACGATTCACAACATTGATTTCTTTCAACGTCCCACGCAAGAGATCAAGCAGCAAAGTCTCACTTCTTCGTGCATGTCTTCCCATGCCTCCAAAACCAGAAAAAATGAGAACTTTATTATGGTTTCTGTTATACAATGTACAAGCAGAATGCCCCCAAAGGAAAAGCTTCTCTTTAGGCTCGCCATTAATCATGATATGAGTAATAGACAAAGTGCAGCCATGAACTCCTGCAGGTCCTGCCAATGACTCAAAGATTCAGACTTGCAGTCACAATAAAGGAAACGAATCCAAGTATCAAATATACAGAACAGAAAAAGGTAAGTAATGATTATTAGATAGCCCCAAAGTTTCTTGTGGATATGGATTTGAATAGCTTGTGCTCGGAATTTTGGTAAATTTTTTGCAGTTCGAAAAAAAAAAATGGAGATAAAAAAAGAAGAAGAAGAAGAAGAAGATAGCCCCAAAGCAAATAAACACACATCAATTTTCAACCAAAAATGTAAGTTACCAAGTGTAAAATCAGGCAAGACCAATATTTTAAACTAAATTACCAACATGGCTCTCTTCCTTAGGCCTCTCCAAGTCAACCTGATCCTCATCACGAACACCATCCTTACTGCACACTGCATAATTCCCATTATCAAATACTCCATTCATTGCAGATCCACCTTCCTTTAAAGCTGTAAGAAACCCTTCAGTTCTCCTCCTATTGGCCTCCATTTTCTCATTAGCAATCCCAACAAGGAACCTCACATAATCTTCAGACACCATAATCTTCTGGGTATCACCAAGAGGCACCTCTAACCGTATTGAGCACCGTATGCCAACAATCACTCTCTTACCAGCATTAGTAATCCCGGATTCCCTGTACCCACAACCGATAGCCAGTGAAACCAAATTCTGGGCTGACTTCACGTCTCTACACTCAACAGCAATAATAAGAGGTTCAAAACGGAACACCAAGTCGTTCACTTGAGTACAACTGAGCGGCCCTGGCTCAGTGTGAACTGACTCGAGCGAGCTGGGGAAGAGGAGGGAGATAACAGAGTCGGGGTCGGCGAATTCGTGGGTGATAAAGACCCAGGAGCCTCCTCTAGCTTTCTTCTTGTTGGGGTTAGAGGCAGCGCCGGGTTTGGGTTGGGAGAGGATAGAGATACGGCCGGAGCAGGAGCTGGTGGTGAAGTAAGAAGGGTGGTGGTTCAGGGCGTCCAGCAGAGGGATGATGGGCGTGTCTAACGTTCCCTTCGGTGACTTGTCGGTCGCCGTCGATCCCAGCGACGCTAACGTCGCCGCTTTCCTCCGGTCAAAGTCCATTTTTTCCGTTTTGTTACTCCCTCCGCCGCCATGGAACCGTTATAAAAGCCCTCTGCTTTGAGCAAGGATTATGGGCCTTAATAACTATAAGCCCATAAAACTAAAAAGCATTTCTATTGGGTCGATATATTCTCTCGTGGATTATAAATAAAAATTTAGCCCATAAGTTATGGGCCTGCTTTCATTTCGGTCCATATACTCATGGATTCTTGACATTCCCAAAAGTTTTAGCCAGGAATTAGCCCATAAAATTTGTCCATATACTTTATGGGCCTACTGATTCTGTTACTATAATTCTATGAAGGATTTGATTGGGTCGATACAGTCCTAAAAAGAAATGGAATGCTGGTTGGATTGATTTAAATTGGGCCCACATTATCTTGATTGCGACTAAATTCATGTTTTAATAATTTAAAATAGGGTTAATGCTACCAACGAGGGGTTGGATCGAGTGGTAAATAATTTGTTTTAGGTTAAGTAAAATTTCAAGTTCGAGCGGGCTGGGAAACTCACCCACCATTTTCAGGTGCGTGACCCGAGTTGAGTTCGGATTAGTGCTTATTCCTTTATTTTTTAAAAAATAAAGATTAATGCTTATTCCTTTATTTTTTAAAAAATTATTTTAAAATTATGCTTTTTAATAAAATATTATAAAAAAGAATAAAAAATATTTTAATTTATATTTTTAAAATAAAATATTTTAATTTTTATTAATAAAAATTTATTAAAATAATATAATTTTAAAATAATTTTTTTAATTTTTTAAAAATAAGACAAATAAACACCATATTATCTAAAATTTTCACTTAGATTATACCATGGTACAAAAAGAGAGACCTTCAATTGGTAGGGATAATATCAATGGAAAGGAAGGAAGTGAGGACTCATCTCCCCTTTAATATAATAATTTATATTTTATATGTCACAATTTCATAGAGTGCCAAACTTCAATAATTTAATTTCTC